TATATATATATATATATATATATACATATATATCCTCAGATTTCGAATTAACTTCATGAAAGATCTTCTTTGAGAAGCGAACTTTAATTGCCGCTGTTTCTTCTTTTCTTTAACAACCAAGTTTAGACGATGTATTCATACCGAACTTTTTTTCTTTAAATATTTTAAAAATTACGTCGCGAAGTCTTTGGGAAAATTTTATACCTATCCCCCCGTACGAGTAAAACAAACGCAGTTTGCTAAGGAACTCTGGAGAATTGCGAGCTTTAATGGCATAATAGCGGTCACAAATTTCGCGAGTCGATAATACGCGCGTCTGGCCTTCCGGTTTATTCCTTTCCGCCGAAGAACCCTCGAGCGCAAAATTATTTAATCCGGTTAATTGCGGTGTCTCCCTGTTTTCCAGGTCAGATTGAATTAAACTGTCACGCCCTTCTACTTCTTATTTCAGATCTCTTCAATCCTATTTCTCGGATTATCGAAATATCTGAGTTTATTTCTGGTACCAAAGTGCATCACACACGTACATACACTCACATACCTAAGAAGCTTCCATAATAACTTATTTTTAGAATATTTACTTCCCTTGATAACACAGAAAATTCCAACTGATCCACCTTTTTCCATCTTGAACAAAATAGAAAGGTTATATTAATTTAAGAGGAAATTTGACGTTATAATCCAAAATTAATGCATAAGTATATAGAATTAGAGTCAGTGTTGCTAGTAGCATTCTCTTCTGTCTCGGCTGTCACTTGGATAACTAAAGTCTTTGCTTGATTAGACCGTTTTGACGAGCGTTTTGTTTGCTCAGATGCGCAAGTTAGGTCCTCTATATAGCGTCGCGATATGTCGTTATGACGTTGCAGATCGCGAAATCGAGCAGCAGCATGCAGCTGCTCGCACCGGCGCCAGATCCAGTTTAGACGGTCCTGGCGATCCTCGGAACAGAACGGATATGAACGAAGAGGCGGACCGACTGTAGCGACGGCTGGTCTCTGTCGGCGAGGTGTAACTATTTTTACATCGAGACGTGCTGACGTTTCCCTCGTAACATCGCTGTTTCCGTGTGAGAGACCGGGATGACGTTTCTTTGTGCATGACGTGCGATTCCAGTTTCACCATCGATCGCTTCAACCTCAAGGGCTTAATCCATTCGGCGGGATACCTTTTTGGTGTTTAAAGCAGTCAGGAAGTTCGCAGCAAATTTGTAATCCACGATAGAAATTTGGAGACTTGCTAGGAGAGAAAAGGGAAGTGTAAATAGGATATTTCTAATATAGAGGATGTCACCATAACGGTATATTTTTACTAATTACTTATTATATCTTTACTAATTATTTTACTAATTATTTACGGTATATCTTTACTAATTATTTTTACTAATTACAATAATCAAACAGGAAAAAGTTCCAAATGCAAACAATCAGTTTTTAAACGGCAACAAAATGCAATAATAAAAATTTCATAAATATCCTCTCTTTATAAAAATATTAAGACAATTTCCGTTTTCTTAGATGGAACTATATCGTTTTTGTCCATAGTATTGTAAGAAGAATCAAAGCGAATTTAGTAGTAACTCATAACTTTATCTTTATATTGTCAGTTTGCGCAGCAAAAAATTACAGTAAAATAATAATAAAGACTTTCAGCTATATACTACTGTGTCCAAAAAGTAAGACCAGTTTTTATTTATTTCAAAAAATATTTATTTATTCTTCCAAATCTATTTCGTCGCCTTCAAAGTAATCCCCTCCCGACACAATACACTTATGCCAACGTATTTTCCAGTCCTCGAAACAAGAAGTAAAGTCGCCTTCCGGGATGGCTTTCAGAGTGCGTAGCGATTCACGTTGTATCTCTTCTATCGTCTCAAAACGATTTTCCCGCAGTGGTCTTTTGAGTTTCGGGAATAGCCAGAAGTCACACGGTGCTAAATCAGGCGAATACGGTGGTTGTGGAACGATATGGATCGAATTTTTGGCGAAAAAGTCACGAAGAACGAGTGCAGTAATTGAGATGTTTTGGCACTAGTCGAGATTTTACATGTTTCAGGCCCAAAATATCTTTCAAAATAGTATTAGGAGATCCTTTCGAAATACCAACAGCAAGGTCTCTAACAGTCATTCGACGATTAGCAAGCACAAGTTCTTCGATTTTCTTGACGTGTTGTTCATCAGTAGAGGTTGATGGTCGTCCGGAACGCTCTTCGTCTTCAACACTTTCACGACCTTCTTTGAACTGTTTATACCACTTGTAAACATTCCTTTCCGACAAAGCATGGTCCCCGAAGGCTTTCTGCAACATCCTGAACGTTTCTGCACCCGAAATTTCATTCCGCAAACAAAATTTAATGCAACTTCTTTGCTCAATATAATTAGACATTGTAAAAATCGCCGAATGCACTTTTAGCGTCGTACAAAACCAAGCGTAAAGCAAAAAGTAATGAATGTTTTGATATGAAATTTGTCAGATGTCTGTCACAATGCTGCCAACTTAGAAAAAAATATTTATGATGTGCGGTTTACCCGCGCGATTTAAATTGAAAACTAGTCTTACTTTTTGGACACAGTAGTATAAATAACACAAGCATGCAAAATCATAAATCATAAATCAAAATATTCTAACTGATATAACATATAAAATTCTGTTATAAAAGGCGGAGCTTCGTTGCAGAAAATGAATTAAATTCCGAGCATATCCTGAATACTTAACGTTACTCTCATTATATATTATCTTATCTTCTGTCTGTATTTTTACTGTTAAATGTTGGCAAGAATAACAATGTAAGTTACTATTGAATTTGTTTCGATTCTTTTTATAATACTACGGATAAGAAGAAAAGAGAATGTAGTTCTTAAAAAGGTAAAAATAACCTTACTTTTTTACGATAAAATGATGTTCTCAAAGTCTTGTCAACTATAATACTGCGAATAACATTTATGTCATTTTATTAAGGTCTTTAATTAATTCTTTTACTTGTAATGTGTTCGTTTTGTAAAACTTGAGTTTTTTTTTATATCACTGAAGAGGGTTCATGATTGAGCCGAAATGTTTGATTATTTATATTGAGTATTCATGTTCAATAAATATTACTATATTTCCTAACACAAGGAAGGTTTTACTCATATGGTACATAGCACTATTAATCCTGTGCTTGAACTCGAATTAGCCCTTTTTCCTATTATTTAATTGATGTTCTCAAAATTTTTATTATTGCATCTTGTTGCCGTTTACAAAACAGATTAATTACTTCAGAAATCCTTTCCTGCCCGATCGTTGTAACTGGTAAAAAAAAAAAGCGCAGCCCACACGATGAACAGACTGTATGTCACGAGAGATATTTTGCGAAACGCGCATTGATTCATCATTCGATATCTCGTGTTGCAATTCTCGACGATTCGCATGCAATAGACGCGTGAGAGGAGAATACGCAAAATTACGATTCAATGTAATCCCGGCAGAACGTTAAACATCATTTGGGACACTATTGTTCCCGGAGGCACGAAAAAGCCGGGAGTTCGATCCTTTCCGCGCACGTAAGCCGCGCTAATCCGCTCGTCGACGGGGCTGTAATCATTATCAATCATGTCCAACGCAAACCTTACGTTCCATATGAATCCTAATTTCTACGATTTTCTCTCCGAACTATCGGTTCCCCCAGATGACACATCGCGAGTTTTGCGAGACGCGATTCTCAACGTGGACACGTGTTTATGATAAAGCAAGAAAAATGGAGATTATAGTGAACGAAAGAGGAAAAAAGAAGCACCGCCAGAAAGTCAAAGAGGCATCAGGGATGAAAGTTTTGGAGCAAGGACAGCGTTATGAACTTCCTCGCAGTTTTCAGGATAACGCTAAGAGCTCGTGAGATTAACTGCAGTTTACTGAGGCAGCGGGCGCGAAGGATTAAGTTGTTAATTATTTGGGAGCGTGCCCGATTATTAATCTCCGCGTGACGCGGAGATGTTTGCAACGGATTCGCCGAGCCGGGCGCTAAAGTGCATAGCCCACTCTAATTACGGAAGATCAATTATAATTAACATCCCGCTCTTCCTTCAGTCCCCGCTCTTTGTCCGGCGAACTGCAGCGATCGATTCTCGAAAATCCAATCGCACGTCGGCCACGCGGAAATCCCAATACGCAGTCTGCAACTAGATTACGACGTATGACGTCGCGCTCAATGTTGTAACGGCATAATGCAACGAACGGGAAACAATTCGACACGGTAGCACGATGCTGGCGGAGGATTTCGCGCTCGACCAGCGACCAATGCGGATACGCTGTGCAGCGATACGTCGCTACCACCTCATATGATATGCATATCGCGTTAAGTATGTATTAATTGCGCATATAACTACGCGCGTAATTCCATGCGCTGCGCGCGAATGTTTCAATAACTATCGCCGCGTAATTATATCCCGCGCACGGCGTCGCGCAAAAAGCTTCGCTCCTCGTCACGCTCACGGAGACGTAATCCAGCAATTGATACGTAATCACACGGACAATCCGTTTTGCGAAATCCGTTCAGCGATTGTATGTCCCGTTGCTCAATTTATTCGTTTAATTACTCGGACTTTGATCAATTCCGGTGTCTCCAGGCTCGTTCTTCCTGGCGCGAAATTTCCCCGGATCGCCCCGTCGCAGATCAAAACCCGGTCGTCTGCGACGGAGGCTCGACGAGAAATCGAACGTTCTCATATTTCCAAAGGGTGGATCGAAGCTGAAGCGACGTGTGTGCGTGCGCGCGTGTGTATGTGTCCGCGTTTCTGTGTATGTGTGTGTCTGATGGCCCGCTGTTGCGCAATGGCCGTTACCATCATTTCCTCGAAGTGATGGATACCATAAGTTAAAGCGACGTCGTACACCGTAATTCAATTTGTAGAGGTCGCTTAAGGGATGAAGTGTCCGAGGAAGTGAATAGAGAATCCTAATAGAACACGCTGGTTGCGCGCGCTTTACGCGATTTACCTCGGATTCGTGTCCCCTCGCTCGCGGATTCTAGGAGCCTTTTACAGCGGCCGGTGATCGATTGATCGCAAAGGGCTCGTCGTGCCCTCGGCGTTCTCCGACGCTCCAGCGAACGTGGACCGAGACCATCGACGTGACGTAATGATACATCGATACCTATTGCTATCTCGCGAGCGAGAGCAGCGCGCCGTCGTTTTGGCTCACCTTTGAATAGCGTTTAATCAAGGGCGCCTAACGTATAAGTTTGGCACGCTCGGAGCATCGAGGGTCGATTAAATGTATAAATGAGAGCAGTAGAGGAGGAGGAGAAGGAGGAGGATAATTCCTCACGCGAGTAACTTGATCGAGAAAATGGAAGTATTATGCTTCTTCGCATCGCGGCAAGAATGTAATTTATTAGCGAAGGTGTTTGAATGCGCCTGCCGGGCCATGAGCGAAAAACGATGGCGCAGGATGGTGTGTTCATTTAACGACTGTGTAGCAGCAAACACAGATACGATCGCGAAAGATGAAGAGAGGAGAGACGTGGTTGGGCGAGTTACCGTGTGTGTTTTGTCCTTGCAATCCGCTGGATTTGTTGGCGGAGAGCTCTCTCAAGCGAGCGACACGCCATGCGATACCCAACGTAGGCTGACATATCAGTGTTGAATAATGTCTTTGAATTTTCTAAGCGCCGAGCGGCACGAATGCCAGCGGCGCGAAGTCACCTTACCACTTCCTTGTCCGTCACCATTCGCCGCCAATCCGAGTCGCTTTGATCGATACATGCCCGCGAGTCCGACCACTCTGTACGCGAAAGCTCCTGTGAGAAGGGTGCCTGTCAACTTGGACTTGGAGGGCCGCGCGATCAATCGACCTCTATGTCGTGGCGAGGGGATTTCTGTCAGTTGCTGAATAATTAGGGACAATTATTAGGGCAATTGCGACAGTGAGACAAATTGCGACTGTTGTTCATAGACCTGAGTTTCAATAATTATTAATTTATACATATACCGGGTTAATTAAATTAATAATTATATCGAAACTCGCGCGAATCGATGTATCATTCACGTGCACTATCGTTGCAATTAAACTCATGGATCCCAAATAACTGATATTATTTTTCGCTCGTTATTAACTTCTTTCGTGATTAACTTCTTCACAATAATTTCAAATGACCGTGCGATTCCCGCCAGGATGGGGTATTTAATAAGCAAGTCTAGATTCCTAAGATTGCCTTTAATATAAGCATGTCTAGATCTCTTTTCTCTTTATTCCTATTTTCTTTTATGCGAATTTTGGGAAATAGAATATATCTAATTTTCACTTGCATTTGCTGTGAGTTAAAGAGGATACGAGAGTAAATCAAAAGGAATTTAATATTTCACCACGTAACTTTTCCGGGTGTACCACGACGCGAGAAACCTCCCCGCCACAAGAGACGCACGTGTCATGAACACGTGTCATATCAGGAGACAACTGCCCTCGTAGACGGTCCATCGATCACTCAATCGCGGCGTTGCATTCACGCAATGACCCTAATCCACATTCCGCACTTCCCAAGCTCGTCTGTATCCTTGGTCAACGTCGCGATATCAAGTGTACTCTACGTTGTATCGGCCGATCTACCACCAGGATTCGGCGTGTGAGCGCGCGGGGTGACGGGGAATATCGATTCTCTCGTCCAGGAATCCGCGTTACCATCCACGCGCGCGCGCGTATATATATATGTGTGTGTGTGTTGTATGTGTGTGTGTGTGTGTGT